GAGTGGTGAGGTGCTGGAACAGGCTGCCCAGACAGGTTGTGGATGCCCCGTCCCTGGAGGTGTTCAAGGCCAGGTTGGATGGGGCCCTGGGCAGCCTGGTCTAGTATTAAATGGGGAGGTTGGTGGCCCTGCATGTGGTGGGGGGGTTGGAGATTCATGATCCTTGAGGTCCCTTCCAACCCTGGCCATTCTGTGATTCTGTGATAAGAATCCATAATAGTTAACGAGAACTTAGTTAATATAGTTGTTCAGTACTGTTTACAGCAATCAGAAAAAGTAGATAAAATAAATGCAATAGAATATATATTTGAACCAAAATTTTAGGACTAGAAGGAATGGCTTCAAGCTGTGCCAGGGGAGATTCAGACTGGATGTTAGGAAATACTACTTCTCTGAAAGAGTGGTCAGGCACTGGAATGGGCTGCCCAAGAAGGTGGTGGAATTGCTGACCCTGGAGGTGTTCAAGGAATGTTTGGACGTTGTGTTGAGGGAAATGGTTTAGTGAGAACTATTGGTGATCAGTGGATGGTTGGACTGGGTGATACTGTGGGTCTTTTCCAACCTTGGTGATTCTATGATTTCATGAAAATAGACAAAGATACTAAAATCCTCAGGGATATATTGAAGGGATATATTAACATACCTATGATTCAACTTCATGCAATTACATTCTATTTACTTGCATATTCTATTTACTTGCATATTCTATTTCTTAAGAATATAACCCTCCCATCCTCACCCCTTCTTGTAATGTTGGAACCTTACAGTTTTTTCTTTGGAATACTTGAGAGATGAAAAATTCATAAGAGGCCTTGAAAATGTAGCTTGCTGGAAGAATTAATCAAGCTTTTGCAGCTTGTTTTATCTGGATCTAAAGAAAAACATGTTTTAATTAAATGCTAAAATAAAGCTAAAGTGACACACATTAAAATGTGTTGGTTTTCTTACGAATATAGTATTCACTGAGACAGAGAACTGAAAGAAGACAAACGTATAACAGTTTTGAAAACTTGATATATTTATCTGTAAGTGCACAGAGTTTTATCAACAGTTCAGCAACATATGAGGGCTGCTCCAAAAACAATGCCTCCCATTTTATTATGCTTGCCCATGACATCAGAGGCAGATGGTGGTGGTATGGCAGTAGAGGTTGAACCTTCCCACCAGTATTCCATTACTTGTTGTTGTGACAGATGGCAGCAGAGGGGCAGTCTGACAGAATGGAAGTGTATATGAAGCAAAGGTGTGTCACTGAATTCCTCCATGCTGAAAAAATGGCACCCACACCCACTGACATTGATGGTGCAGACTTTTAGGAGCCCAGCATTCTTTTTAAATCGCTGTTGAAAATGCATAGATAATGATGATGTCTATTGTTGAAAAATAGTGCTTTGTAGCTGAGAATGTGCTCTATCAAACAGTGTTATTATGCTCTTCACATCTGTTGTAGTTTCCATGGAAATAAATAGGAGGCATTATTTTTGTAGCAACCTAGCATAAAGTATTCTGGCAATTCCATTTACAGGTCAAAAGATGTGTCTTTCCTACTTTTGTTGGCACTTCAGCCAACATGCATAATTCAAAGATTGGCTGCATGGAGTATAAACTTTAGTATTTACTCTTTTGGTATCATCTGAAGGGATGTATTAACTTACGAGGAGACTGCTGTGGTTTCTTAGAAAAAAACAACAACAAAATAAGACAAAAACTTTGATATTTTGCACAAAGAGAATGAGTATCGTAAAAATAATTAATTTTCCTTTGATGAAGTATTTTTTCCTTAATATTAATAGTAATAACTAGAAAATTAAGGATTAAAAATATATATTTTTTAAAGTGCCAAAACTGTCAGTGAACAACTTCTTTGTGACTGAATTAGGAGAGAGCTGGTGATTTGCAGTGGTGCCATCCACTACAAATTCTGCTTTTGCAGTTCCTTCTGTTCTCAGTCTCTCATCAGCAGCTCTATGTCTCTGTGTCTCTTCTGTAGGTTAAATATGATAAAAAATTTCATTCCCTTGCTACCTCACAGACTGCCATTTAATTCTTCATCAGCTTCTCAAACTATCATGTTTTTGATAGGCAACATTTCCTGTCTGGCTTGCAAGAATAGTAAAACAAATGAAGAAGAGTAAAACAAATAAAGGAAAAGGTAAATGGTGGCGCTGCTCCTTGGAAACAGCTAACAAATCCAACCGGTTTTGATAATTAGTTTTAGTATGGCAAAGGTTCTTTACATAATGGAGCTAATTCATTTCCTTAATGGAGTTCTCCTTATATCCAGTCTTTTCAATATCTGTCAATAGTAGCATGCAAAACAAATTGTTGAGACAGTGAATAACTAGAGTTATTGAAAGATGTGCGAAAGACATGATCTGAAAATGTTAATGCACGTACTACAAAGTTCTGCACAGGGAATTCCATTCTTCTCATGGATTCTCCTACCATTGAATTAAAATCCAATTCCTTTCAAATAAAAGTGATTTAAAATTTTAGTACAAATTTGATTGAAAAGGTAGTTGTGGGTAGGCAATGTGACTGGACAATTAAGATGTGTAAAATCTGCTCTTCCAGAAGAAGAGCAGGGGAGAAGGGAATACTCTACTTCATTTAACCAAAAATACACCTTTCTTTACATTTGTGTGGAAGGACACTTTCACTGAAATTGTTCAGTTCTCTCTGAACATTAGAGCCAATACCTGTACAGTCACTCAGGGGACATGGCTTTGAAGTAATGCTGTATGAACTCAGGTGTTACACTACTCTTCCACAAGGTTAAGTAACAAGGAAGATTTTTAAAAGTGGCCACAGAAGTGAACAGAATAAAACACCCAAAAACAAGTTCCTGAAAAAGATGGGCTTTTTGCTCATGTATTCCAAGAACTGAAAGAGTAGCTATGTTTATTAGATAAACCTTTTCTAGCAAATAATTTACAGGTCAGCTTCAAGGTAAAGCTCAAAATAGACTGTTCTTTAGTTTTTGTTGTTGTGGCTGAGATGTTTAAGAACAGGTCATACCAGGTAATGTGTGGGATTAGGTGGGAGATTTATTCAGTTAATTTAATTTTTAGATCCAAGTTATACATTTCAAAGTATCTATGATTCATAGGATAATATATAATTCAGCGTTTGGTTTATTTTATAATTATGCACACACAAATGTTAAAGGAACAGTTTTTAAGGTCACAGTATTAGTCAAAAGACAAAAATACTCCTTCTATAAATCTGTTTTTAGAGAGCTTGTGATTACATACCTTTTGTTTCACAGGGTCTCTGCCTCTTTAGGCACAAAACGTGGATACAAACTGAAACTTGTAAAACTAGAGAGATCTTAAAGGACATTCAATAGGACTTCTACAGTGTTCATGACAAAAGCTGAAGAACCAGTAGTGAATGCAGCAAAGGAAAAAAGAATAGGTCAGTGTTTAAAGCAACCAACTGCTGTCCTGAAAGCTAAATTATAACCTTGCCCCTGAGTTTGTAATTGATGCTATGTGTGTCACTTACAATAAATTTATCATAGATGGCCTCTAACCAGTTTTTTAGATCTGGTAAGAATCTAATTTATTGATGTACTGAATACTTAAATCTGGATCTAAAGTCAATGAGAGCTGTAAGCGGGTAAATGAAGTGTGGCATAGAAGTAAATTGTTACAGAAAATCAAGTCCTAGGCTTCTCTCAAATGAGGCACCAAATCTTTGTGGATTCTTTTCACTCCTTTGAATCTTAGAATTCCTGCTTGTTAGCTTAAAAAAAATATGTAGGTTGCCCTGAAAGTATTTCCTCCCAATCATTTCCATGCGAAATGCTATAGAAAAATTATACACATGCATCCATGAAGCAAGCAAAAATTTCACAGAGCTGGTGACTGTTGATGATGTGGTACAGGAGTGTATTGCCCCAAATAAAACAAACCTCAAAGTGTGAATTCATAATAAGACAGGAAAAGAGGTGACTGATAGAATAAGTTGAGAGCTGAGCTACTTTCAGACATTCAGAATAAAAGGAGCTGCAGCAACAGGTAGGGACATATGCTTTGAATGATGTATCAAAGCATCTGTAAAATGTTCTGTGCTTTTGGAGATTTTTCACATAACAAGATAAACATAAGAAGTAATTCACACATATGCTTGTTACCAGCTAAGCTGCAAACCATTTTCTGTTTCTATCTTGCAGTTTTGACAAAGGTAATCCTTCAGGCTTTGCTTAAGAAATCCTGGGTTCTGACAAGAGGTCGATGGAAAGGCCCAGGAAAGCATATGGTGCCGTATGCTCACCTGGCATGCCTGCTGTATGAGTCTGATCCTACAGGCAGCCTCCCAGCAGCATGCTTACTCTCCTTACAAACAGGTGAGGAGCTGCTGTGAACTGTGTCCTTATCATCTGAGATAAGGCACAGCGCTCAGGCAGTCAAATGAGTCACAGTAGCATGGGATCACACGTCGCCCACGGCTGTGTCCTTACCCACAACTCATGTTACAAAAAAAAAAAAAAGAAGTGATGCAGTGCTTCCTTGTGGATCAGGAGCGATTCAAAGAGCGCAGATTCACTGTTCACCACTCTGAAAGAATCATAGAATCTTTAGAGTTGGGAAGGATCTTTAAAGGTTACCCAACCCAACTTCCCAGAAATGAGCAGGAACATCCACAACTACATCAGGTTGCTCAGAGCCCCGTCCAGCCTGACCTTAACCATCAGGCGAGGCAGCGTAATGAAGGGCAGATTTTACCATGGGATAGGGTTGACAAATACAATAAAACAGTTGTGCATTTATTTATGGAAAGAAAAAAACAAATACTTTTTATACACTGCAGAAAAGTGCTCGGGGGTACAGGGCACCCCTCACCCCTCCGAGCTGTGCTGTGTTCCGCTCGCACCCTCGGTCCGTGCTGCGGGGCTGTCCCTGGCCCTGCGGGGACGAGGGCGGGGCCAGGCACGGAAAGTGGGGCGGGATGACCCCTCCCGTCCCGTCCTGTCCCGTCCCTCTGCCACGGGGCGGGCCGCCCGCGACTCATATAGGAGCGGATCGGGACCCGGCCCGGCACTCGGTGAGGAGTGAGCGGCCCCGTGTTTATCTTTTAGTCCGAGAGAAGCATTCTACTCGCTGCCATGGCCTCGGTACCCTCCCCCGGATGCCTCCTGGCCAAGAACCAGTACTACCGCAGTAAGTGCTCAGGGCCCAGCAGCCCCATCAGGTTCCGAGTTTGTTGCAGAATGAGCGGCTTAGAAAGTTTCAGGTGAATGAGCTGGAGGCAAGAGTGGGGTTTTGCTATATGTTTAGTTATTATTTTTATTTTATTATTATTTGCTTAGGGATATATGTGTCTTTGTTCCATAAAGGAACTGCAGTTCTAATGAGTATTTGCTTCTGGTTGTTCATATACACTTTTTCTTTGCCTGTGGAATTGTTCATTATGACTTTGCAGTATCAATCTTTTTATTATAAACTGTGACATTGACAAAGCATTAGCTCAACAAATCCTGGCTTCAAGCTGTACTTTATATTGCCTTTGCAGACTTAGATAGAATACATAATCAACACACATTCTTGTTTCTGTATACATGAAATACTTTGAGAGTGTACCAGTAGTGCAAGGATGGTACTCTTAGTTGTATCACAATGGAAAGTACGGAAGTTTTTCTTTCTTTCTTTCTTTTTTTTTTTTTTTTTGGTTACTGTACAGTGTATATGTGATCATCATAAAGCACATCACTGATTTCAGTGAAAGCTGGACAAGGAGATCTCAGTGTGCTTTCAGGTGATGAGAAATCAATTTAGGTGAAAGGTTTCAACTAAACAACCATAGCAAAATGGTACATAAAATATTTAAGTCACACTGTAGCGAACTACTTGTTGCTAAGCTTATCTTATCTTTTAGATTGCTTCCTCTGAGATAGCAGCAAGTCTGAGAAATTATTGGCATGGAAAGTTATCCATCTTTTTCATTAAATATGTCCTCCTTTTCTGTGAACAGCAAGGCAGAACTCTGAATCCAGCGTTTCTTCCAGCTCCTCCTGCTGTTCCGATCCTGTGAGTGTTGCAGAACAGGACAAAGCATTTCATGGTATTGCTCCCTTCTTTCAAACAGTCTTCTCGATTTCACCTGTTTGTTATTCTGTGAGTGTCTAATGGTGAGGGCTGCTTCTCTTTCGGCAGGGTTACCTGAATTACTCGATAAATGCTGGTGGATAAAAAGCTTTTTCCATTGTGAACCATCTCCGCCAACTGTTGGCAGAAAAGCACTATCAGCAAGCAGGTGAGTCCTGGTCTTGCAGTGATGGGGATAATTGACTCATTCCATTCTTCCTTTGGTAAAACTGTTACTAAACAAGTCATAATCGGCTAAAATGGTATGGAGGCACAATGCTATTTTGATGGCTTAAGTGAAAGGTTCTGCAAATGTATGGCCTTAGAAGCTGCCCATGTGTACATTTTAAAAGCTGAACACACACTGTATGTTATGATAGGGACTATTACTGTCATTTGTAGCAATAGTTATTTAATCCTTGACCCCCTGCACTTGTACTCCAGTTTATGCATTTCCACTTAACTTTAGATTAAAAAGTTAATATGAATGAAACCAAAACTTCTGCAGATAAATACCTCTGCAAAAAATATAATGACCCTACTCCTAACCTTTTTGAATCTATATTTCTGCAGTACCAACAGTTGAATATGAAAGCAAGCTGGATTACTGTCTAAGATTCTGCGCACGGACTTATTTTTCCAAGAGGCTTGGGATCTTCTGAGTGTCTGGGTTCAGCTGCAAGAAGAAAACAAAACCTTTACGAGGGACAAAAGGTGTACTTTCAAAAGATGTCAGTATCTTAAAAACTATTGTATAATGGACATGTCCATGGCTTACCTTCTTCATTATGGAGTTGCTATAATTTTAGATAACTCTAATGAAACTTACTTGGATTAAATATCCTGATGACTTATTTGGATACTAAGAAAAAGAAAACAACAGTAAGATAGTATAGATTTAAAAGTATGTGTATGGAATGACTTTGCAATAGGTGATACTTACCTGAAGTTTTACCTGTTAAGATATCAGCTCTTAGACATTCACTGCTGTAAATGCATCACGAACAGATCAGTCCTACTCTATTGTGTGTATTTTCTACCGGCTGTTCTATATCAGTTATAGGCATCAGAGTTCACAAGGTTGTTTGCTAATAGCTTTGCTTTTGGAAAGCCCAGTTACACAGAGAAGCAGTAATCTGTTTGCTGTGTTCCAGCTGCATGTGTAGACCCCAGCCACAAATACTTAGATAGACTTTTCATTCACATCTATGCATGGTCTTACTTGAGAACAGAATAGCAGAGATAGGGCTAATCCTAATGGACATTGACATCTTCCAAGCAGATGAGTAATCTTAATCAGGGTTGATATTCACAGCTCTGTTTTACTTTTAAATTACCCTCATCTTCTTTGCTGTTTTTGAAAGACCTTCTTGTTCTCAAGTGACTAATCCTATCAGCATTCACTGCTGTCCATCAGTATAATATGAAAGGTGTAAGAGCTGGCAAAGTATTCAACTCAAAATGATAACATTAATGTTAATAACAAAGTCTGTCTTTGTCAGGATACATGCTATTGAAATATACTGTAGTATGTTTTCATTTGGTCTTAAGCACTGCAAAGCAGTGATTGTTTGTTCTACTGGGGATGGCTAAAATGGATCAAAGGTCATAGAAAATAACATATTTGGCTGGATGACATCACTTCCGTGTGTTTATTTGTGCAATTTTTTTTTAATGTATCATCACTAAGTCTGTCTGGCCTTTGTCCATCACTGGATGAAGCAACAGTAACAAACATCAATGTAATTTTTTTTTAATTATAGATTAGTGGTTGTCATGGTAATGCTTAGAACTATGAAGTGTATCAAGTGGCTGATTTGGTTTTGGTGTAGGCAATAAATGTTTGCCCCATGACCACAGAAAAGAATGCAATGATGGGAATATGGTTTCAGGAATCCTCAAATCTCTTTGTTATGCCTTTTTCCCCTATCACTATTGTGCAATTTCATTATTGTCCTTTCTCTAACTGTACAGAATGAACTATTTTTGTATGTTTTTGTTTTTTTTTTAATAAATAAAGATTTAATCAGTACTTAATTTGGCTTATTTTGGGCCTCTAATACAAATGGTATTCAGTGCTTGTGTTGTGCTTCGTGGGTAGTTTTCTGACATATTTTAATGATATGAAGTAGGAAAATGCAGAATTCCCACTTAAATCTTACTGGAGTGCCTTTCTTCCTTCAGCCACTTTAAACTTCGATGTGAGATGAAGACAAGAGGGATGGAACATGAGCTATTTGAAGACACATTTTTTTTAAAACCACTGCATTTTGTTATATCACAGTAACAAAGAAATGTCAGTTTTCTTGAATGAAATGTAAATATTATGTAATTTTGTGAAAGGACAAAACCAAAACTTAAATGATTTAAAGATAAGTCAGAAAAGAAAGACATATAAAGGGGAAATTACACCCATATAACCTAAGTCCAGCTTAGAATAAGGAAAATGAGAAAAGAAAATGATTTGAATACCTCATCAGGGTAAGACAGATACAAACATTAGATCAGTGTTAGACCCAAGTCTCATTACAGACTTAGGAACACAGAGGTGAACCTGAAAAAGACAATTTTGCCCAAATGCATTTACAGTAGTGGTAGTCAATAATGGGATTTCATTTCTTTTCCAAAAGGAAAACATAAATTGTAATTGATTAGTATATTTTCATAGCCAAAATATAAGACAAATCCTAGTATGTGTTTTGTTTCTTGATCAAGAAAGATGAAAACGTCTTGTTGAGCACATTTAGAAGGATAAACGCATTACCCTGTATCAATTCCTCACATTTAATTATGTCTTTACTAATTCTATCTTATAAAAGTAATATTCCAGTTTCTTGACAAATAGTTATTCAGTCATTGAAGGCTGATTCATGATAGAAACCTTCTCTGTCTGTTAATGAGATTGTGTTTCTTATATGTGCATGTACACATACACACATATATAAATAACTCTTCTTAGATACTATAGAATATTGTTTCTAAGTGTTTGGAAAATTTGAATTCTGTTAGGACAAAAGATAAAAGACTGCTTATACTAGAGCGATGGTTTACAGATTCCATTTTGCAGTGTCAAAGTGGCTAAAATTTAGAAGAAATATAAAAATTGTGTTCCCATTTTAAGAATTTTCTCACTTGATATGAGCTAAGCAGAATTTATGAAAGCATCGTGTTAAGTACTGTCACACTATATAGAGCGTATGAACAACAGTAAGGACTATAGCTATTTCTGAGAAATGAGAGGGGTTTTTTTTGTATAGTAGCCAGTTATTTAGAAGCCATCATGATAAATAAACTCATTTAAGGAATAGATTTTCAATAAAAGAAAGACCATCAAGTCAAGTTCAATTTGAGATGTCTCAAATAGATATTTTTTCTAACACATGCAGCAATTACAACTCAAATAAACAATGCAGTTTAGCATTCATTTGTGATTTCCTTGAAATTTTTATTCCTCTTTGTGACATCACAGTTTCTTGAAGTTTTAAAATAATTACAAAACCTATTTTTATTATTTTATTTATTTGTTAACTAAATATTCACTATTTTGTTATGAAAACAGTGGGATTTTAACCCCGCTTCTCAAGTAATCTGTAAAGGGGAAAGTTAAGCAGGATTCTTTCAGCCATTTGTATCAGGACTAATATTGTTTGCAAAGCATCTCTTGGCACTGCTGGTGACTGTGAAAACTTTAGACCATGACACATTCAATGCCTCTTAAGTTATGGAGGGACTCTGTCAGATTTCTCTTGCTATACACTCTGTCATATGTCATTTTAAGCTGTTCTTGCAATAGCAGATGTGAAACTTACTATATACAACCCATGGAAGATGTGACTTTGTAATAGGAAATGACTATCACCAACAGAGAAGAATATCAGATCACTATAGTGACAGAAAGCCAAGGAAAAAAGAGAAAACAACACATTTTTAATTCCCCCTGCCCACCCTCTTCTATCCACCTGAAACTCTTAGAAAGAAAGAAAGAAAGAAAGAAAGAAAGAAAGAAAGAAAGAAAGAAAGAAAGAAGGAAAGAAGGAAAGAAGGAAAGAAGGAAAGAAGGAAAGAAGGAAAGAAGGAAAGAAAGAAAATCACTGTTTCTTTTTATGCCAAGAGAGAAGATTCAGTTCCCAGTTACTATGTTCAGAGTCACATTGACTTTTTTTTGAAAGAAGAGCTATAAAAGTGCTTGTAGTCACAATGACAGGACAAATTACTAGAGAGAAACAATACTTTTATTAGATCAACTCATAACAGGAAGAGGAAAGGCTTGTAATCTCAAAAAGATGTTGCTTTTCTCAGCTGTCAGGCAATCCATCTCCTTAAATCTTTGCCATCTTCAGCTTCAAGGGAATTTATTTTCAGTTATACCCATAAAGCAGATTCTGTAATCTCACTTTACTTCTTTAGTTGAGGTAGCAGTATTGGGTGCAAGACAAATATTATTTTTCTCACGACAGGGTACACTGTAGAACAGCCTCTACCATAACAGGACTGGCAGGATGTCAGTCTCACTACTTGACATTGTAGAGGCTGAGATGTCCTGGAGAAACACAGCAGTACTCTGAAGAAGTTTAAAAAAAAAAACAAAAAAAAAAACCATATTTATTCAGCTATTATTATTACTTTCTCTGTTGTCCTTTTTGCAAAAAGAAAACTTCTAAAACTGACTTTGAATTAGCAGCAGGAAGTCCACAAACACTAGCAAAAATTTTCCACAGTTGATCACTCTCACCTTTGCAGATCTTCCCCATTTTTTACCAGCTTGAATTTTTCCTTGAACAACAATTCAGAGATTAGTCATGAATGCAGCACTCAAGTAACAAACAAGAAAGTTTGAAAGTGCTGATTCCATCACCTCTTCAAGGTTCTCAACAGTGATTTCAGAAGAGGTTATATCATTTTATTTAATCCCCAGCTATACTTACTTCAGGAGGTATTTCAGCACAATAGGAGTAGATCAATAGATGAAAGCTTTTGCTTCTGTGGGTGAAAGCTAAAAGCCAAGGTTTTAGAGTATGCTTCCCACTCTGCAGTTTACTTATTTTAGATACAGTGAGAACATACAAACCATTGCCAAAAAAGCTAAATGAGAAGGAAGAAGGTTATAGTGCAGTATTACAGTAGCACAAAAGCGTTGGAGAGTTTGAAATCTTAGACCCTAAACTGCACTTTATATCACAATTCTCTGGATAATGGAAATCAGTTAAGAGGTTGCTGAGTATCTCAAATGTTAATGTATTTAAAGAGCCCTACTCATTGCAGCCAACTACTTGTACACACACTGCAAACATGTACATTCAAAACATTTTTAATTTCATTTTAAAGTAATTTGTAATCACTTTTGGATTACACGTTGTAGTGGAAATGCTAAACCACAGCCTGAACTAGTGACTGAACACCTGGTGGGAATGCAGGACCAACCCAAGAGAGCTCAGGTGCGTGCAATGAACTGAGTGACCAGAAAGGTTGGTGCCAGGATCCCCTCTTCTCAGGCCTCATTTAAGGTTTGGCCATGGAGGTTTTGCTGGAGATCTCTGTGTACTTGAGGCCTGCTGAAGGAAGTAGCTTCTTTTCTTTGTTTCTCTGTCCGTGCCTGTTGCATTTGAGCAAACTCTCACTTGCTGCAGCCTGGGACTTTGCTACTTTTCTGTCATTGCTGCACTTTCTATTGTGTTACAGCATTATGTGTGTTATGTATTTTTTCATTTGATTCTGTTGACACAGTATATATAGAAAGCACTGTTTCTGAGATGGATATAGTATTCTAAGTTTTGAAGAAAGTTTTGGAACCTAGAGCAGGTCCTTAAATAAGTCTATTTTACATGTAATCCAAGAATGTATGAATTGCCATTTTCCCTGTGTCATAGTAATGTGAAGTAAAAGGATAATACTAGGAGTAAAATAAACAATGAGATTATTTGGATAGATGTTTACCCGTTATATTTTAACCAGGTTTAATTCTATTGTGACTCAGCTTTAGTCTCCTTGTATGTTTAAATTCAGGTAATCTAGCATTACCATTTAATCACATAAATAAGATGTTGAACGCATCAGGCAATTTCTTCATCGCAGTAGCAGACTGAGTAAAGCCTTGAATATAAAAGGCAACATAAACATACATGTTATGTGTTAATTCCTTCTTGTTCTGTCACAATAAAATACCTGCCTGCAAAATACGCAGTCAGTTTTAAAACAGAAGTATTCTCATTCTGTGCTTTCCAGAAACATATTTTCTCAGGTGAAGCATTAGTTGCTTTGTATTTCTGGTTTCATAGCAAGAGAGTGACAAGCTGTAATGCATTAAGGAAACAGATTACTACTTTCACTCCTTATTTTTCCTGGTTGTCATAATTGTCTTTCATTAATCTTCTGTCAGTCTTGCTTAATGTGTTTAGAGGGGAAGTTGTTTGTTCTCTGTTTACCTGTTCCCTTCTATGAATGTAACAGGAGTGTTATCCAGATTGGGAAGCTTCATGGTGTGAATGCTTTCTAAAATTCTGTACGCCACTGCAGCAGCACTATGCTGATCAAGTAGCTCAGCTTCAGCCTTCTTCATCTCCTTCTCCAGACCCTTCCATCTAAGGGCTGGTCTTTATTCTGTGTTTTGCAACGTGCAAGTGTCTTGAAAGTTGTCAGCTGCTAGGCACGATAATATTACGTACAAGGCTTTACAGCTAGTTTTCAATATAGATATCCTTTCACTTCTTCTTGGACATTAAAGGATCTACAGCTTTTATGATATATTTTAAAGAAGGCATGTCATGAGTAAGGGCTACAATCTACTGGCCAAAACATTTTTCAGCTGAGGACAGGCTTTCTGTAAGATACCAGTTTAAATAATATATCCTCTGTATGTTTAAACTTGCTCACACTCACGGCATTTCTTTCAGTCAATAGGAAAGCCATTTAAAGTTTTTTTTAAAACTGAAAATAACTTCATTTTTGTTTACTGCTGAAATACACTGAGATGAGAGTGCTTTTTGTAAGAAATAT